AAAGAGAAACCACTGGATAGGGGGTGGAGGCGGTGCTGCACAGGGACTCAGGTGATCAACTGAAACTACCAAGGAAATAAAATCCCAGGAAGGAGAGCTGGTACCTGAGAAAGCAAGAAGCTTTCGCAAGAGTTCCCCTGCTTGGAACTACTCTTGCTCAGGCTTCCTCCACTCTATGCCAGGGCCTTGGGCCAAGCGTCTCTGCGCTGTATCCCGAGCCAGCTCTCGCAGATCAGCGGTGAGGATCCCCAAAGAAGCAGGTGATGGCCCGAGCGCAGGAGCCAAACTCAAAGCTCAGGGCAGCCAGGCTGCCAGGGGAACACCCTGGGACTCCTAGAGCATCTGGAGCCTGCAGGTGAGCTCAGCACCGAAAGCAGGACTGCAGCTCTCAAAGGAAGAGCAAATTCCCCGCTCCCCGCACTGCTGCAGCCCAGCTGGAGGGGAATTCTCCCGAGACACCTGCCCTTCCTCTGGGGAACAGACACTCCCAGGGTTTTACTGCGCAGCTCCCAGGGATGACTCCCCCATACAGCAGGGCAGTGGAGCCTCAAATGCTCCCGCTGGGTTTTCGGGTCCCTAAGATCATGCAGGTATCTGTTACAGGAGCAACTCGTGCCCTAGACTGAAGCAGAAACCTCTCTGTGGGTCAGAGCTGAGGAACGCATCCCCTGGCCTCCACAGGCAGCAGCACAACACCCATCCCCAGGGAAGAGCCAAGGTGGGACCACAGTCCGACCTACCCACACAGCTCTGCCAAGCAGCACACGGCCTGCAGCTCTGGCTCTGCTGCTAGCCCAGTGCGCAGGGAGCAGGCACTCCTCCCGCTGCCCAGCAGCCAGCGTGGACCAGCATATGGTGCGCTCACACAGCCTCAGTCTCCAAGCAGGTGCCTCATCCCAGACGTTCCCCCAGTTACCATTAGCTGTTCCTTGCTCTGCAGCAGGTGAGCGAGCAGGCGTTGGAGCTGCCTTCCCACTCCTCCTCTGCAGGAGTTTGGCACGTTGCAATTGCTGCTTTTATTCCCAGTGTCCTCTTCAGGCCTGGAAGATGGTTGCTGTGTCACCTACTCATCGTGAGGGCCAAAACAAGATGGGGCTTTTTCTACTGCCGCTCCAGGTTGTATCTGGGCTCCCAGAGCTGCATACCACTGAAATGCAATTTTTTTTTTTGCTGTCATTCCCTCCAGGTCCCTGTGCCACCTAGCGGTGACATGAACCCCAGGAACATGCAGCTGCGGCTGAGTCCAGACAGCTCATGGGACAGTTCATGGGGCACTCTACAAAACAGACTTTGTCTTCTTTGGCTCCATGGGCTGATTTTCTTTCTTTCCAAAGGAGCACCTCTGGACTCCTGCAGTTTGCTCAAGAACATATTTTGCAGTTGTTTCGCATGATTCAATGACACTTCATTCCTAGAAGGGTCTGGCAGGAACCTCCTCAGCCCTCATGGAAGATGAAAGCCAGGTTCTGCACCTTGCCCTTCTGATAGTTCACACTGTGGAGATCAACTGGTTGCCTTTGGGATGCGATTCAGCCTTGAGAGAGACAATTGTCAACAGCTAGACGCAGCATTTTTGGCTGAGACACGCATTCAGGTTCCAGTGTCAAGGCCAGGACATCAGTGACAATGTTTCAAACCCAACCTCTGCATACGCTATTAAAGACAGTGGATCTGATCAGTCTCTCTAGGTCACTGGGGGTCTGTCAACAGCCTGGGCCAAAAGCAGCTATTAGAGAACAAACTTTTATTGTTTTCAGAGGCAAATCTGAGGATATCACATCTGTACAGATGTAAAATCATGAAGTCCCTGTCCAGGGAAACACTGACCTCTGGATGAACCTTAATGTCCAACATCCCTCCTCTAACATCAGCAACCCAATGAGGAGCAGTGAAAGCGGAAGGAGGCAAGGGAGAGGAACTATGTAATTCAATTGCTTTGGCCCAGAAGTGCAACTTCCTTGCCCATGATCGTTGTGCTGAGCAGACGCTGGCTTTTGACATGCCGGAGCGTGATGGGGAACCGTGGCCCTCTCCTCCATGCACTTTTAAATGCTGGGCATGGATCTTCAAAGCAGGCATGGCAGATGAAATCAGCTGAAAGTCCCTGATCAAAATCAAATTCAGGAACTTCTGTGGAGAATCCCTCGGCATTTGCATCCAAAGCCTGTGAACTCCCTTTGCCAGGGCATATCTGCTTTGCTCTCTGGAAGAGCAAAAGACTTCCCAGAAGCCTCAGGGCAGGAGCACCTGGCAGAGCGCAATCCAGGTGTAGACAGAGCAGCCCAAGGCGTTTTGCAAACACTAAGAGGCATTTCATGGACTGTGCTGAAGAAGTGATTTGCTCCTGCAAGAAGTGGAGTATGAAATATGGAGGTGGTGCTTTTGGAAAGGATACATACTCCCTGGGAAAACACCAGCTGTGTAACAACCCCCTGGGACAGGGAAAGGATAGATGCCCTCCACTAAACGTCTTGAAGATACAAATTTTTCCTGTGATTCTTGCCACTTCTGGCTTCCAGGATGGTTCTCAGATCTCTACTTTTCAGACGGAAATGTTTTATAAAAACATCTCTCGAAAGTACTCTTTTAAAGATGCTTATGTTCCCCCAGAGGTTTCGTGTGAGAGGTCTCCAAAGGAGGTGAGGAATTGAGCAGCAGTACAGAGGCTTCGTATAAAATCGGACAAAGCAGTAATGCCTGTCACACGCAGCGCTCTGATCTGCACCACTGACAGGGAAGAGAAGGGAGTCCAGACCATCCGACATTTTACTGAAATGATCTGCAGGCTGGCAGAGGGGACCTGCTTATGTCTCACATTTTTTAGTTTTCTTGTTAAAATGAGTCTGGAAATGGCTACTGCCTTCAAGCCCCTCTCACAAGCCCAACACGACACAGCTTCCCTTGAGCAGTCAGGGAGAGCCCTGGGGACCAGACTACACCTTTTGGTTTCTCTAGAGTGCCATCCCTCTTAGCACAATAAAAGCTGGAAGCCCAAGAGAGGCACACCGTTCTGAGGGTCTGCATCTGTTTGACAGTACCGCCTGTTCTGACCATTTAACTGGGATGTTACAAGCTGCCATCAGAGCAGGCTCTCTTTAGAGATTTTTTTTTTCAGCAACCAAACACCTTATAACTTCTTTTTGTTTTTCAGGAAAAGAGACTTGGATGGTCACATGGAGTCACAGCTGTACCAGTGTAACAGACACACGGTCCCACCCTGGGAATTAAGGAGGCAGAAGGGTATCTGGTTATCTAATTACATCAAACCTATGTATCTTTCCCAGTAAGTATGGGGACAGAAATGCTGTTTTCTGTAACTTTCTCCTGACTGCAAAGAGCAACACGGAACTGGAAGTTCAATAATGAACAATTCTGAGGCTGGATATTGGACTAGTGCCTTTTGAATCAGGTGAGGAGGCCACAAGAGATATATATTAAAAACTCCTAGAAAGATGGGGAGACACCTTGCTTTTCAGCTGTGTCATATCACAAAAGCTCAAAACAACTTGCTGTAGTTGTAGAGACTTTCCACAGAAACTCCTACAACTGTTTGTTTGGCTGGAGGAGGAAGTGGCAGATGAGTCCTCAGCTGAGGTACTGTTTTTATCTCTACGATCCATTTCCCCAAGGGGACAGTCCTCTCAGTCATCACATATGTACTGCTCTCTCCATGATCAACAGACCAACAACAGCATCAATGGTGCACACCAAATTTTGCCCAAATCCAGACTTAGGCTGGGACAAAACCCCCATGTCAGCAGCAAGGAAAGTGCTAGACTGGATTTTGCAGTGTGTAAGAAAGACTTCCATAATGAGGAAGAAAAAAAAAATATCAACAACTTCTGAGGTCTCAACACTACTGAGATGTCCATGTGATCTGGACTGGAGATGTAAGATGACACTCTCCCTAAGCAAATGCAGGCACTAGAATAAAACTTCTGCCAGAAGCAGAAAAGGAAAGCAAAGTGCTTTTTGTTTTCTCCTCCACCTTCTGCTTTCTCAGAAATTTGGGAGGCTTCCTCTTCTCCTTGGTCACCACCACATGCAGTTGGCCCAGTTCAGGTACCATTCAACCAGCGACCTGGAGCTTTAGCAGCACATCAGTTCTGGGGCTTGTGCCATCACAGACCAGAAAACAAGACAAACCACGGAGCCTAAACTCCTTTGTGGAGGAGAGAGTCAAGAAGTATTAGAAATAAGGTAAGTCCCTTCTTTGTTAGGAAACGTTTAGAGGCTCTAGGGGATGCAGATTACCTTTGGACGCTCTCAGGATGAAAAGCCTTGGAGGCAAGCACGCCTCAGCAGCCTGCGGCGCTGGAGAGAGAACGAATGGTTGGGAGAGCTGGAACTGGAGCAGCTTCCCTCCTGCAGGAAAAAGGGCCTGGCACGACGGCAGGGAAAGGAAAAGATCCAAAAGTGCATTCTGCAGTTCAAGAAATAACTCCTGCAAAGAGAACAGCTCTGTTTGAGAAAGCTGGGGATTTTCTGAAGAATTAGTTCATTAATTTCTGTCCTTGCTTTGTCCATTTCATCTCAGGCCATGTCTCCCTCTCACTTTGGACAGCATTTTGGGGGCGCAGAGTGCCCTGCTCCCCCAAGGAGAATAACGTCCGACATGGGGAGTGGAAGGGACAGCAGCATCCTTCCATACAGCTCCTGGGAAGAACGCGTTTCGCCTGCTACCTACCTGACTGAGGGACCTTTAGTCGCAGTGCTGAACATCGAAGAACACTGAGAGATCAGGAAAAAGCTTTATTTGCAAAGAAAATATTGACAATTTACATAAACTTACATCCTAATTTATATACATTATGTATATTTTATATACAGATAGCGTCTTGAATAAAGATGTTGAAGCACAAAACAGCATCAGTGTATCACTGTGCGGTTCAAAAAGAGTAACAGGCTTGGAGTTGTTGTATTTTTTCCTACAACTCCTCTCCCATTACATTTTTGTTAGGGAGTCTGAGGAAGGGCTTTCTCCTAAACCTGGAAACGATGAATACAAATGTTGCACGGGTGTGTGTGGGTCAGACTTGTAAATGGACGCAGCAGCAAAACATAACAGCTCTTAAACAGGGAAGAATCCATGGTCTGTGAGCCAGAAAAGCTTATCAGGCAGAGGAATCAAAATCAAGCAACCAACCCAAAAGATGACCTCAGCCATGCCACAGGCTGAGGTTCAGCTCACAGACTCGGAACAAAAGGAGCCAACACTTCTGGAAAAGCAAGCTGCTTGTTTTGAGGTGGGGGTGAGTCTCTGTACATATGCAGGATTGAAAGTGTGGAACGAAAGAACTACTTGCAACATGACTGGATTTCACAGAAACCTGAAAGACGGTCATACCTGAGAACACCTTCCAGATGTAAATTTACCCCCACACTCCTTTTAGACTGTAAAAAACAAAGTAACTTCCATTTTCTCCAAAAGCCTGCACCAGGACTGCTTGGTGTGGCGAAGGTGGAATTCAGGTAGGTGCATGATTACCATGAAGTCATTTGTGGGAAGAACCAGCAAGTACAAGAAAGTTTCTGAATGCTTTCACAGCAATTCGCTGCGCTCCACTTCTTCCAACAGGAAAAAAAAAAAAAAAAAAAAAAGAGAAAAGGAAAACTACCAGGAAGAGGGGCTGCCCTACCAGCTGAGAGAGAAATGAACCCACTCAGCTTGCTCATCTCTTTCTAAACACAGCTCAGGGTGGCCCTTTCTAAGCAGCTAACACCGGTTATTCCGTGGAAGGAAGATCCCAAGGCCAAAGATGACCTGGCACATTGGGCAGCAGGGAAACTACAGCTGGCATTGTGCTTACTTGCGTAAGAAAGGCACTGGAGAGAAGCAAAGGGCAGTTATTTGTGTGTAGGGAGCCATGACCCAGAAGCATCTACTGAAGATGCCTTCTAGCATCTATCCTTCAGGTGCCCTGAACATCATAGCAGAGCTGGATTCGCTATAAATTGTCTCTGTGTAGAGAATCTTGGGGGGGAGAAGGGTTTAAAATGGTATGTGCTACACCGATTAGCTGCTTGCTACATTTCTGCAACTGGAATCCAGCCAAAAGTTGAGCAGCAGATCTAAGGCACGTAGGTAAGAGCAGCGCTAGCAAGTACCACCGGAGAGGAAAGACTGGCACACAGGAAGATAGTAGCGACTGTTTTTGTGGACCAGAGGGCTGTGCCAGTCTCTCTGATATGCAGACATTTGTCTGTAAGTGAAGCTCTTTCTTGACAACCAGACTAGAAACAGATGTCTATCAAAATTAAAAGACAGAGGGAAAGACTGGGGCAAGGTCCTGTTCTTGGTGGAGTTTGTTAAAATCTTCCATAAGCATCTTCCTGCTCCTATGAGCTGCTTCCAGGCCTTTTCTGCTACAGTTAAGGAAAACTACAGAGGCTCCAAAGATGGTGGCACAGACCAGGATCATACAGAAGCTGTTCTATAGCCTAGGTAGCTTACACTGTAATACTCCATCAATGAGAACTTGTTGCTAGAGAGGCCAAAGGGTTTCAAGTATAAAAGACTCCACAGTTGCTACAGGACTGGTGATCTCAGAGATGAAGGCCAGCCCAAGTTAGGTATTCTCTAGTCTCCGACTCTGCGTTGTGGAGCTCGGGCTATACGGAGCTCACCCTATGGTGTAATGCAAACATTGGGAAAAGCACACTGACAAACAGAACACCTCCTTGCAATAAGGGAGACAGGGATCACTTCCCTCTGCGGTCCCCTACGCCATCCCATGCACATGCCAGAGAGGGAACTTGACAGAGCTGTATGGGGTTTCTACAGAAACAAGGGATTCTCCCTTTGCCTCCTCCTGCTCACAGTCATACTCAGAAGTGAACCACAGATCCTACCAGTGGGGGACAAAGAACGCAAACTACATCCATTGTGCTCTCACAAGTCATTTTAGTATTTATGCTTGCCCTAAGTATTGCTGTTTAGACTGTACTCTAAAGCAATTCTGTTAATGATTTGCTTCATGTTCTCACTACACACAGTTGTCCTGATTCATTCTTGTCTGAGGAACACGTCCTTCGTAATCCATTTTAAAGAAAATAAACCACAAAGACTAGTTGAGTGCCCCTAAGGCTCTTGCTAGTCCAACATGTTAAGGCAAGAAAGGAGGAGAACATATTGAATAAGAAATAGCAGGCAATTTTCCATGCAGTTATTTTATAAACTGCATGCCTCCTGTGAATAGCAAGGCTGAAGCCAAAGCTGGGTGCCCCCAAGAAATATTTATCTCCCAGTAACTGCAATACTTGGCAAGTGAGATCACTAGCTACGGATGGAGAAAAGCAATGCAGCCAAGAATGCTTCAGCCAGGGTGGACCCGTCTGCACTCAGATCAGCCGCCAAGCATGGTGCTGTCCCTACAGGTGATTGCCGCTGAGCCACCTCTACTGGCAGAGATGAAGGTTATGACCAAGATGTCAGTCCAGGACTTGCTTCCAATTCAGCTCTTCACATTTGCTCTACAGGCTGAAATTTCACTACCCTCTTTAGTTCAAAAAATACGCTCTAAAAAGAAATAAAAAAAATCAAAATAAACAAAAGGCATGACACAAAAGAGCAATTAGTGTTTCAGCCTCTTCCTCAGCTCAAGCACATCTTATAGCTTTAGATCTCACTAGTTGAGGGGAGGTAATGGGAGAGAGTTGCTCAAGAAGCCAAAAGAAACAATAGTGTCCCAGCTATTCTATTAGTCACCAGAAATCGAGTTATGACTAGACTCAGCAGGGCTCAGAGAAAAGAAAAAGTGGTGACTTCATGCTGGACCAGACTTTTTAAATATAAATTTTTGCTAGAGACTCCATCACCACTTTATTAGAGCATTTTAGGTAGAAGAGTGCCAAAAAAGGGGAGGAATAAAGACCACATCTAAAAGCAGGACAGTTGCTATTAAAACAGAAAGAAAATTCCTGTTTGAATATTTTATTCTTAAATGTGACAAACTTCTTAAGAGTGTTTTCACAAGTACTTGCGTCTGCTCTACCTGGCTCTGTGAAGCCTGTAGAAATGTGTTCCGCTTGAATTAAAAAGACAAAAAACAAAATACAAATTGCTGTAACAGCAGCAGTACTTTAAGGTAGCCCCTGTGAGGGCAAGGTACACCTGTGGGGTAATGGCAGGAACTGAAAGTAGCAGAGGCTTTGGAACTGTAATTGTCATTATCTTTGGAACTTCTTAATTTCTGGAATGTAGAGGCAGTTTCATATGTGCTAAGCCTGTTCTATTACATATTCGTTTTCCTCTCAAACTTACTGCTTTGGCAGCCTGCTTCCAAGCTCTAGATAGAGGCACTTCGCCTTCTTTTCTCACACTCCTGAGGATGAACGTAAACACCACTGACTCCGTCTTATTCACCTTCTTTCACACTACGTTGCCATTCCAGTTAGAACTGAGAAGGCAGAAAACCAGAAACCTCATTTCTTGCTTTCATTAGTGTGCAGATGCAGGAGTGCCTAGATAGAACAATTTTGACAGAAGTCTACCTTCTGCTACTGCCTGGGATGCTCTTGCTAGTGCAACATAAAAGCAGAGACCCACATCATTCTCAACAAGCCTCATGTGAAGATCACAGAGCAGAACATCAGTGCAGTAATACTTGAAATACTGAGACAAGGCAGACACAACAGCCTTTTTTCCTCACAACACTTTTTCAACTAGCTTTTTTGACCCAAGTCTCCATGCAAGTCACAGAAGACATTGTGCTTCCTGCATTCACATATAGGAATAAATAGCTCTGGATCAGTTTTCTTTATGGCCGGATTATAGAACCCCCTGAAATACTGATACGCTTATGAACAGCAGCACTGTGCAGTTCTGTGAGTATCCTTGGACATGCCAAGTTCATCTAGGATGCTGGTGCATCTCCTAGGCGTATGGCCCCAAAGAAAGTTGTGTGCTTGCTCATGTTGATGGAGATGTCAGCATGGACCATTTTCACAGCAATCTTCTGCCTGGCTTTGAGGAGGCAGACCCCAGCTGTATAGCAGGTATTGAAGTTGGTCTTGCCGGTCTCAATACTCCGAGTGCATTGCAGAAAGGGTTTTTCATCCACCACCACCTCATAGCTGGCAAAATCTGTGAAGTTTATGTAGTATACCTGATGTGAAGCAGGAAGAAGAAAGGCTATTAGGGAGTGTATTTGTGCACCAGGAACAATTCCACATTCCTTTCAGTGCATATATAAGCTCCCTGAGCTAATGATCCCTTCCTTGGCCCCTGTAACCTCTATTCATTGGAGGCAGAAGGAGCCTCAAGCCAACCACACGCAGCGAAACCTCGTATTTCACTTCATACTAACACAAACATGCAAGCGTCCATGATTCCAGGCATCTCTAAGGCTGAGCTATGAATCCTAACAAAAACCCTGTTTATTATAGAAAAATATTACAAACCCCTGCTGCACAATGAAATGTTAATATAACAGCCTATCTACAAAAAACTTGTAAACAAACCTATCTGCTACAAACAGCTTTTCATCCGACAAACAAACAAATAATTGTAACTCAAGTTCTCTTTCACTTACCTTCCAAATCCTGCTTTCTGGGTCCCATGAGCCTCCTTTAGTGTTGACATCAAAAATGCCCTAAGATGTACTGGGAGCTGCCTTCTTTGTAACTGTACTTGAGGTGCTTTCAAAGGCATAAGCTATAACAGGGAAGATACTCCCCCGACCCCGACAGCTTGGCCAGCAACTGATCTTTACAAATATTATAATATTTGTACTGAATTTAACATTTGGGTAGCTCTAGTGACTATGTCCCCATGATTCTGATAGGTATTCAGTTACTTAACCATCTCCCACACACTGATTCTGAAGAACTGCAAGACATATGAGAAAGACTGCACAAAGAGATGCAAGTCTCAGGGATCTGCTTCTTCCGGGCACAAAAGAACTAGTCATTTTGGATGCATCTGCTAGTTCTTCTTAGTCTACAGTCTGTGACCACAGAAGCTAAACAAGACTGATTCTCCATTTTCCTTGATGGACTACAAAAGACAAAGGCTTCAGAGACACAGTGCTGTGGCCAGCCATTAGCACGATGCGCTTCGGGAAATAATTTACCTTCAGTCCACGTAGAGTTATTCTTCCTGTCCCCATCCAAACTAGACACATTAACAGTTCCACAGAAGAGCCTCTGATTAACCTGGCACCCACAGCCTGTTTTATCTGACTTGGTACCGTCCCAATGGGACTGCTAATTGAATTTAGGCAAATCATGAGCAAAAGATAATATCGTAAGTCTGGAGCAAGGTGGAAGTTGCTTAATTGTGGCTGTCACACGGAAACCCTCTTGTCAGCTGCAGAAGTGCTAAAATCTGTCCCAGAATCCAAATGGAGTTTCCGTCCACAGGTACCTGCACACCCTGCACACTCTGGAAGGACTGGGTGGAGTTTAGTAGCTCTGTAGCCATCTTATTTTCCATGTAGCTCAGAAACTGTTCAGAGATTTACAGGAAACTGGGAGCACTGCATTAAATGACAGCTTACTCTTACATTTTATTAGAACGGGGAGAGGAAAATGATGTCTTAATTAGCTGTATACTAAATCATAATAAAAGAAAATGTTACTTTATTTAGTACTTTTTACATAAGCAGGCCTGTATATCCATTGCTGGCACTGCCTACTGCAGCTGCTGATCCATCCCACTACACAAGGAGGCTGCTGGCGCATCGTGTCAATCTGAAGCTACACAAAGAAGGCGGAGACAAAATGGAATTACCTGGGCTGGAGCTTGACCAAGCCACTTGGGCTAAGAGCACTACAGCTATAAAGAGTGACATGGGTTCTTAATGGTCACAAGGTGTCAGGGTTTTGGTTTCACATCTCTTCTGAAGCACAGAGCCTAGCTTCCTGCTGGGACTCTTGTTCAGCACTGAATTGCAATACGGTTTAGATTTGTTGACGAATGACTGCACAGACAATATGGAGGAAAAAAAAGGCACTGATGGCATATGGAATTTGGTTCTGTGTCTGTACATGGGTTTCAGTAACTAATCTCTTGCAGCCGGTATCATGGTGAAACGTGTGACCTTGCACTTCAAAACTCTAACATCTTCCTCTGACGCCCTTTTCCTAGAGCATGAAGTGGTTAAAAGTACATACAAGTTCTTGGCATTTGCTAGTTGTCTGGAGCCCTCTCGTGGTTCATGCAAGGCTTCCATTGGAACACAAGAATAGGAGTTAGGCCTAGGACCGTACTCACTTCTACCTGACTATAGATGAAGTATGTGCCGTCCACCAGTACCTCCAGCTCCCCACTGCGGGCATGCAGCTTAAACACCTTGGGGTTCATAGTGATGCGAGACCAGTCATTGAGGACTCCACCTGAAAGATCTCAGTATGAGAAAATGGCAGTCACTCAGTACCCGTTAGAATGAAAAGCGCAGGAGCACAGAAATACAGTTACATTGCAACGTTTCATATACAATGGCTGATAAAGACTGGAGTTGAATAGTCACGTAACTCAGTAAGAAAATCCCAAAATTAAAGACTGATGTTGCCTTACTTTTGACTCCTTTCTATGACACTAGCTCTAGTTACGTGATCATTTCCTGCTGTTTGAACAGGACATGCATTCCACTCAGTGCACAGGACAAGCGATTTGTATCTTACTGAGGGTCTACCTACCCTCAGTAAGAGTAGTTCTTCTCATCCTTAAAATTCAGTATATGGCCTTTGGTACTATGCTATCTTCAGCCTCAGCATCAGATACAGCCGAACTTGTCTCTTCCTGACACTAAGCTGAGCTTATTATCATACCTGGGTGTTTTACAGGCATGACAGGACGGTCCCATCAGAGTAAGTGGTATCATCCCCTGCTCCACAGCACAGAAATTAAGGCTCATGGAAATCAATGTCAAAACTCTAAAGTACTTGCTAAGATTTCTTAAGTCATCTGAGGAGCTAGGGTCTAATTTTCAGACTTTTTTTTTTTTTTTTAATGTTCAGCCACAAATGACAAATGACTTTTACTGCAGCTACGGTTATTACAATACTTTTGCAAATCAGTCCCCAGGTGCCTTCTGAAGACAGTATCATCCGCGGCCCTTGTAAGAGCTTTGTTATCGGCAACTTCCCTCTATCATGCAGAGAAGAAACTGCAGCAGAGACAGGACCAGAATCCAATTCTCCAAGAAATATCCTCAGCTGATATAACTCAACCATGAGATCATCACTTCTCTTCCTTTAACTCCCATATTTTTCAGTTCCCCCTTCACACCTCTCTGCCCAGCTTCTACACTAAATGAAGCAGAATGGTCTTCAGCAGATGGTGTGCTAAAGACGACATCAACAGATACTTTCTTGAGGACCATAGCAAGGTTAGAATGAAAAAGGTGACTCCTGTCCTCATGGAAACGGGACTCTATGTGGCAAAACTGTCTGCCTCCCTCTCACTACTGCTGAGTAGGAAGATGTTTTCAACAGTAATGTTATGATACAGCCTTGACCCCTACTTTAAAAGCCTTGGGATCATGCCTATGAGAAGACTAGTCCTTACAGCAAAAGAGACAGTGGCATTATGAAAAAAATTGTGTGCAACTATGGGATTAAACAGTCTCTCAGGACTCGTATGTGCAAGGAGGTCAATTTAGGGTTATATAATCAATTTTATTTCTGGTATTCCTTGACTTGTACATTTTTTGACTTTGTAACTAGTGTTATTTTAACAAATGCTTTGTCATTACATTTCCTTGGTTAAAATATAACCAAAATAACAACAAAGTATGAAAGTGCATCACATCACACCACATTAACCCATACTGGAGTCCTCAGCACGGTTAGGGATTTGTAGACCCACCACCCAGACCTCTATCGTTGGAGCCAGTGGAATAATGGACAATATTAATAGACTTTTATCCTCTATATAGTTCAATGAGCAGAGGAGACGCACTTTGCTACGAGCTGATGACAGAAGCGTTCTGTAGGTGCCTTGTTTTATCAAATGCAACTCCTTTTCTCCCAGTCTTCAGCTGCTCCTTTGCTCCCTGCCCCCTCTGCAAACCAGCCAGACTGTTTTTCTGCTCATTGTCAGCTGGACAACATTAATTTTTCAGAGCCCAAGAAAGTCAGGCTCACTGCAGCAGACTGTTCCCAAGCAGCAGGGAAGGACAGTTACAGGGTAATTCCCACTCTTAGAGAGTAGTGTACGCTCTGTAAACATAGAAGGTCCCCATTAATACTGGGATAATTACTTTTTGAACGTAGGCAAAACAGCATCTTTTCACAGAATCACACAGAACGGTTTCCCCTAGTATTGTTTGTAGAAACAGCTGATTTTGTGTTTCGGGGAGTTTCCGCCACCCCCCTCCCACCCCCACATAATAGTAAAGAAATTCAGCTTGAAGTATACTTTCCTAATCACGAGAAATTTCAGCTCCCAAAGCTCAAGTCTGGTGAAAAAGACAAACAGCCTTTGAACAAAAGTTTTGGCCCATCCTCACTGTATGATGTACAAGCAGAAGTTAGTGAATAGGGGTCCTGCAACCCTGGTACTGTCTCACCAGCTCTCCTGCCGGTCAAGGGCTGCAGCCTTCTAGGTGTGAAACTGGGGTATCTGCACTACCGCTGCCCCTGGCCCTCTCCCGGGAACTGAAGCGCTTCACAGGGAAGGGAGTAGGAGCGCAGATGACTCAGCCTGGGTCCAGGCAGGGAATAACAAAACTAGCTCTTCACAGGCAGTGAGACATCATGAGCCAAAAGGCAGCAGCTAATGAATGAGACCCAGCTGTTGGCAAGAAGAACAGGAACTTAAACAGAAATCGGATAGGAGGAAGGAGGAGAGCAAAGAATAGCTTGTGGACTTGAAATTGCTTGAGAGGACTCAAGCTTAAAGGCTGGATTCTAGATGTTGATTGACGATTGGGATGCACAAAGGGCCATGGAAGTTGCACGGTGTGCACACTTGCAGCAGTATAGCGCAGGAGGAGCTAGAGGCTGTGCATCTGTGTTTCCTCTCGGTTCACACTACAGCTGTGCTTTTCCCTAACATAAATTATTGGGAAAAATGGAGAATAACACAGGCTAATGGGGCTGAGACAGGAAAAGGATACACTGAAGGCTTCAAATGAAAAAAAGAGATCGTGAAAGAAGGCTGGTGAGTCAAGGGGCTGATGACAATTGATGATATAACAACAGGTTTGAGGAGGCAGACAATGTATCTGGAAGCCAAGCAGAAGCTGAGATAGAGTGGGACAGAATTACTGGGAGATACACAGAGTAGAGAAAAACTGGGAGATACATATGAACATAGGAGGAAAGGGGTCGGATGATGAACAGAAGACTGGTTTGAGGGTGGCTGGGCAACAGAGATTCGAACTAGCGCAGGGTGAGGCCAACAGCAGGCCACAAAGACAACTAGTGATCAGTGTTCTAGGATGGGCGGCTTACACCCAAACTTTGAAACGAAGGGAGCAGGATGGACTCTTTACAGTAACAGTCAATATCAGGAGATCCTTACCATTCTTTACTTGAATTGCTGAGCCTTGGCCTTGAAGATGAACCACAGCTGGCTGCAAATAAGATTACTGGGATTTAAAATTAGCCAGAAACACTGCATCATTTTACTGTAACTTGACATAGCTCCACAGAACTGGCAACCAGTACATATGCATGATACACTCTGAAATCAGTACTGCTTTTGGTAAACAAAAAAGGAGATCAGAGCAGCTGACAATGGTCAATGACAAGATAATGTTTAAGTACTGGAAAAGAGATGAGAACACCACGCCAGATGAACACTGCTTTCCTTTGAGCAATGAGAAAGGTGAGCTCAGCCAACCATTTTGTGTAGCTATGGTTTAACACACACAGGAAAGGATTTTTTTTCAGTGCTATGCCATCAAATACACATTAGCAAACACAATTGGTAACTTTTTCCAAGAACCAGCCAGCCTCAAGGCTAACTTTTTCCCTTAAAAGAAGATCAACCAACCTGGATGTCTCTGGAGCCTGCCTTGTCTGTGGCACCTGCAAAATGCAATTTCACATCATTGAAGATGAAGCTTGAAAGAGCTGCAGTAAATACTCCTATGCAGAAAACTTCTCTTACCCCTAATAAGCATTAAAGAGTCATTTTCACAGGAAAAGAGGATAACAGTAGCTGTAAAATGCATAGCTTAATGTTAGAAAGTAAATAAATAAGAAAGAGCTTCATCAACTTTTTCCTGTTAATCTACATTTCTGTTAATATAATCAAAATGCCCCAACTTTATTCAACCAGTTTCCATTAGAAGGAAAAACTGAAACAACTCTTTTCCTGATTTGTAGTGGTAACAAGACCCTTGGCTGCAAAGATTACAAGTTTCACTCTGCAGTAACTCAGGTCATTCATTGCGTTCAAGCTACATGCTGAAATCTCTTCTCTGAGTGCCAAATCTCTGTTAACGAAGAGAAGCTTGTGGGCAGCACTCTGGAGTGCTAAGGACCTCATGCGGCTCCTGGCCCGTGCTTTGGCAGTTTCTGAGATATAAAGGAAAACTTGATTGACTTTCAGTTTAAGAGCCACACAAGCTATAGGGTAATAGCCCTCATATCTCTAAAGAAGTATTTTTCAATACTGGATTGTTAAAATATATGTATGCAAAACAAACAACATTAATGTTAACTTCCACCAGTTTGTATTTTCAAGAGTTGTTAAGTTCGGGGATTTTTACAAAATAATGGGCATATGACTTCATGGAGAAACAATACGGTGCAGATACAAGAAACACAAAGAAAAGTGAAAACAGGAGCTGTGGCAGAAAAACAAACTGGGGTTTATGTTAGTTTAAAAGCAATTAAAGGAAACACCCAACCATTACAAAGAAGAGTCAGCTTGCAGGCCATTTCCCTGCACAGAACTCAGTCATTTGAAGATTTCAATGCTGGTAAAATCCAGGTTCATATGAAGCTTAACAGGAACTAAGGCTCTGCAGGTCTCTCCTACTCCTTCTCAAGGTCTGTATTTGAATACTTATGTATTTTTATGTTTTCAGAGGGATAGTCACAAAGCTTCTGCTTCCCTGTAATGCTGAAAAGCAGCGTACACGTCTCAGGGACTCAGGAAATCATACATGTCAGTGACACACAGAGAAAGAAAACTTATGACTAGAAACAATACCAAGATTTGAAGTCTTGTGCTTTAACCATTAAACTGTTCTTCCTCCCTAAGCTGGACAAAAGTAATTGATAAGCAAGAGAGGCAGACAGCAGCCTGGTCTCCCGCAGCCGGTCTAGGTGACTTTGTGCCAGCAGCCTTTGCAGTGGCCCTGCAACTCCCTTCTACGCGCTCCCTAGGGGAACCGCTACCTGTGGAGAGTTTAAACAACCTCCTCCTCCCCTCACACAATGCAGAACAAGTCCTGCAGCAAACCAGGCCAGCTACACTGTCTTGTCGCGTCCATCCTCTTCGGACAGTCACCGCTTCGCACGCTGCAACAAACCTTCAACTAAACAACTTGGGATCCCAGTCGCGCCCGTGACCAGAAACTGGCTGCACCAGACATTGCTTGTCTTCAGACCCTCCAGCTGAGCTACTGTGGCAAGATGGGCTTTAAACCCTTCTCTCCTTATTTGCATTTTCCCCAAGACATTCAAGAACAGTAACATTAAGTCCTGCCTGGGGATCCTGCATCGCATTTGGACACTAACCTTGCTTCAGACTGTGCCACCGTCACACATGGGAGGGTTTTTTTTCTTCTCACAGCAATACAGTGCCACTGTGATATTTGCCACATCACCATGGCTTATGAAGGCTCTGTCCACAGAGAAGTGAAACAAAAAAGTTACCTGAAGGGCCCTGCAGTCCAGGTGGTCCCTGAGGGCCCGGTGGGCCAGGAGGGCCGGGCGGTCCCATTACAGTTGTGCCGGGGATCCCGGGGATCCCGGGAATCCCGGGGGGGCCCTGGGGCCCAGGAGGGCCTGGTGGCCCCTGGGGACCATTGGGCCCTGGAGGACCAGCCTTTTTACCTGAAAAATACAAGGTCAAATATTAGCTTCTCTGCATATTGAGCACGGCACTGTCTTTTACCTAAAAGAAAGCACTGAGAAGGCACCAAGAGGAAGAGCCACCAACCAGCTGAACCACAGGTCGTCACGGTTCAGCGACATGAGGACAATGGTGGCAGAATGGAAGGCAGCAGGCTGCCTTCCTGTCGGTTCCTTCTGGCATATAAAACTATATTTAAACAAGGGACATGCACTCTATGAGGCCATCTTTGCAGAGTAGAGTCACCTGCTGTGGAGCCCACAAATAGAGACCACAATCTTCTGCCCTAGAGATTAACTACAGCGCTCGCTTGGAAATCCTGCTCTCTGTGCCGGGGCGGGAGTTGGTTGTTCAAGGTTTGAAGCTACAGCCTTCTGAAAGGCAGAATGCCTAAGAGGCGGTCAGTACATCAAACGAGTTTTCAAAGCACAATATTTGCTGTGATAAAATTAAAACGGATCATTTGAAGAATTACAAACTACAGTGCAACACAATGAAAGTTGAAATACTAAAAGTCAACAGGAAATGCTCTGTAATTTCTCAATTTTATGATGAAAATTGCATTTTGATGGAAAATAGTTGCAATCTTATCAACCAGCTGTATGCGTATGGCTTATGATATAATCTTTAATGATGCGGTAACGTATCATTTGATCTCCGTGTTTGAGGGAGAGAGAGTCCTCCAGAGGGCGGTTCAGAGCTTAAGCTCAGCTCCTCTTCTCAGCAGCCTTCCCTTCCCTCACCAGCCCTGCAAGGGCCGACGCAGCCCAGCAGGCAAACCGGGTGCCTGAACTTGCGGGTGCTACGTAACACATTCCCCCCCAGGCTTCCTAACTGTTAAGACAGATAAAGTAGCACGTTCTTAGATGCAATGAGGACGCATTTGTTAACACGCATGAAGCATTTAGAGACTAAACTAAACAGTATCTTCAAATAATTAAATTTTCATTTTGGGCTTTGGATAGACAGATAAGGGAAGGACTAATAATTCAACAACGAGGATGAAAACGCTGAAAAGGGATGGGTCCCAGGAAAAACAAATAGTGCAACCATGTAAGTAAAGATTCCTATAAGGCATATACACAATGGACTGAAGTGAGATCTGCACGGAAAGCCTAACCTGTGATTTCCTAGTTTTCTAGACACTTGATAGAAATTATGTTTGTTTAATGCAGTTTTAAAAATGCTACTTTGTAACAGCTCTTATGCTGAAGAGCTTTATAAACAGCAAAATCATTAATCAATTGCTGAAGCAAAGGCAGCCATCGGGGAGACTTAATCAGCTTTTTCACACAACAGCAACAGTGAGGATATGAGATAAAGACTACTGGAATGGTTTCTAAGCACATTTATGTACTTGTCTCTCTACTAAACGTGCATCACTGTGATGGAATAGAACTACCAAAAAAATCCTATTTTAGTCAGCACAGAACTGGAAGGATCCAGCTCTCCACTGGATGCACCTTGGCCACTGGCCATTAACAAGGGCACACCGAAATCCCCTTAGGGACAACTAACTGCACTGTTTCAGTTAGTGTGCCACACCGTCCCTTCCCAAGCTGTTTGATCAAGCGTTCGGTTTCTTTTTCTCTCATTAGATGATGAAAAAGCTTGTTTTTTGCCTGTAGCTGAAAGAGATGCTAGTCCCTCAACTTCTTTAAGCGATGGGCATAGAACTGAGAGTCAGTCAATTGCATACAATTAATCTCAGTGCCTGCTCTTTATTTCTAGGTCTAAAGAAAATAGAATACCATCTTGTACTTTTTACAGTAGAAAACTATTTTAAAGCAAGTACAGGTGACTAAAGTAATATTAAAGTAATACTGGTATCCTACAAAAATGGGGCAAAAGGCTTAAGGGGACAAACTGTGAACAGTAGTATTTCTGTCCAGATCAGTGGACATGTGCCTTCAAATCTGAACTGGCAACAAGCCAACCTCCTTCCAATCCAGCAACTCTTCTCTTCCTTAGGATAATGACACGCTTTGGAAATATCACCTTGAATTAAAATCCTTACCTATTTCCCCTAAAGCGTACTTACAAAATTCTTTTCACTCATTACCCCTTCAATCTAGATTACCCTAATGAAGGATCACATCTATTAAGTCAGGATCCTGCTGCTGTGTCTCCTTGCTTTACTTCCCAAGAGGGATACACATTACAGCTGTTTTAACTAATCTGTCTCAGAGATCCGTTTTGCTACTAAATTAGCTGCTATTTTAGCAGTAGAACAATTGCATATAATTCTGAAGCTGCACAAGGACACTTATTTTCTATGCATTCTGACTCCTCCAAGTAAATTCGGCTACTTTTCTGTATTACTGGAAGCCTCCTTGTTAAAGTCGTAAGACAAAAAACAGTTACATGGTCACTATGAAGCTCATGAGTCATCTACTCACAAAGGAGACGGTCCACAGCTCAGTTATCGCATATAACAAATACTGCACTTTAAAACTAAGTAAGACTCTTCGGACACTTGCAGTAGGCTACGTGGGGAATGACATTCTTCTGTCGCTCCTTTTCTCTCTCTAAACTTGTGTAAGAGTCGCTTTCTTGGGCAGAACACACGCCGTCCAAGAAGTCCTTGCCCACAAGAACAAGCCCTACAGTTACGCAGTTGTGTGTCTGTGTTAGTGCACGCATGTCACACAAGGAAAGAAATCAAGAACTGGTAACAGGCTGACATAGCCTCTTGAAATCCAACTCCTGAGAGCATTCAGTGTTTTAACAGTGAACCAAAACAGAAAGTCAATCCTTCTGGTTAAGCAGATATTATCTGTGGCTCTTGCGCAGCAAATCATGCTCTTGTGTAGAGCTGCCATATCTCATAAATCTACATAGGTTTAAAAGTGTCCTCTGGCAATCACCAGCACCACCACAGAAGAGCTTTGTAGCGAGTGTCTCGATCATCCAGTTCCTAACTTGCCAAGTCTCTATCTTTAGCCAAATGTACTTGGCAGAATCCAAAACTCAAACGCGGCAGAAGCAATATATTTTCCTTAATCGTTGTATGGCAAACAATAAGCTACAACTCTTAAAAGAAAAAAGTGACAATACCATAAAATTAAAAAATTGTATACAGCACTACAGCTGTATATAATACAGTACTATGAGATCCCTCTGCTACTCCAAAACCGCTATGAATACCACAATCATCATTTGCTATTAGTTCAGCTGATTTAACATGGGTTTAGGGTTTCAGAGTTTTGTCAGGACAAATTTTTAGAACACAAAATTTTATGCTGCTTTTGGGGGTAAATATAAACTAAGTTTCTAACTGTAGCCTGTCTCAACTTCTCAGCCATAAGTTTTGCGTTTGTATATAATGAGTAAAAATGATTTGATGTGCTATTAAAGCAGCATACACATGCAAACAACACAGAAGCTCAGCTGCTGCCTGTTGCTGTGCGCAATAATTGCAGTCTGGGGTCTATGAGAAAGCCTGGAACGTACGGAAATTTCTTCTGAGCGACAGAGCATAACGCAAAGCGGATAAAGAGCTAACTTTTCTTTTAATCAAATATGTATTAAATACAATAGGGCTCCAAGTAATAAGCACAGACTTGACACTAACTATACCTATAAATGCTTTGTTGCACAGGTTTGGACATCAGCGTGTGCGTCATTTCAATGCCTACATAAGCCACTTGATAAACTAAGCCTTGTATCAGTGGTGAGCTTCATGTGTTTCAAAGAAAGTACATCTGGGGGAGCCCCTGAGTTGCACACAGTCTGTTTATGTATTTCTTGTAACCTACAACGCGTTGTAAGTACAGACCACAACTTTTAATATGTACACAAAAGTATTTTGATGGTTATGAGGAGCAAAAAATGGGCAATGGGACGACGCTTCCTTGAAATCAGTAGTGTAACATTTTTTTGAGAACAAGTTTATGTGGCAACTCAGATACTTTGACTTGCTCAAGTTCCTGGGAGCAAATAAGAGCATGAATGTAAGTATTTCCCAGGAGTACACCAGATACTGCCACTGAATCCAGGCCTACGCACCAAATAACCCAAGGCACAAACGACTCACAGATCAGCATTTTCAAAAACAATCAATTACATGCCCCAAACAGCCTGAAGAACACGGTAAGAAAGTCAAAGTATCTGCGGCCTGGCCATCACTTTGAACGGACACATAAAACGCTCCTTCTGAATTTAATAAGCATCTAGAAGTCAGTTGCAGAGCGCATTTAATTCTACCTGCGCGTAGGCTTGCTAGAAAGACAGATCTGCAGGAGAAGAGCCGGAGATGAAAATTAAAGTCGTTTCGCTGCAGATAGCCTGGCAAACAGCAAGCAGCTCACGAGACCTGGCATGAGACTCAATTCTGCTTGGCCGTCAAACTATAGCACGTTAGGCTTTAGCACGCGCGTCTGTACAACGTAATTAACTTTCCTTTGGCTTTCAAGGAAAATTGCAATGAATGTCTGTCCTCCCAGGGCCCTGCTCGCTAACGCGACCCTGCCACAGCAAGGAGGGGGCACGAGAGCATGGCTAACCCCCTGTTCAAAAACATGTTGAGCGCTCGCTACTCCTCGTCACTTGTGGAGAGGGGAAAGGACATGCTTTCTCTCCTTCACGCTGATCAGAGAGAATCATAGCTGGGGTGGTTCAACACAGGCGCAGAAAGGAGTCATTACAGTAAAATTCAGTTAAAATTCAAACTTACCCTTTTTCTTGTTTTTAACTGAACTCGGACCTGCAAAGAAAAAAGAAAGCTATTGAAATTCAGTGACCATTTCATCTGAAATACTAAAAAAAATCCCCTCGGCCATCAACAGCCACCAAAAAGAAGGCTGTCTAGAGCTGGAACAAAATTAGTAACAAAAACGCTAAGCCAAAGATGCACCTTTTTCTGCCATTTACAGTCAAATGCTATGACGGTAGAAAGATCCTACCAGGACCCCGGGTTGCCTTGCCTTCTCTCAAACTAGCAACCGAGTTGATGTTGCCGGATGTCCTGGCCTGGGCCAGGACGCGTTGTAGGATGGCCTTGTGACCACGTGGAGGCCAACCATTAATAATTTGCTGCATGACAGAATTTCTTTTCATCAGGTCAATCACAAAAGCAGGCCACCAATCTGTTTACAAAATAAACACGTCAGCTCCAAGTGGCCAAGCTTGCGAAACAGTGGTTTAGAGCGGACACGCTTTGCTCCTCAGCCAGGACGGCTCAGAAGGGAGCTCACGAGACTCAGCTCCCGGGGCAAAGCACTAACGCAAATGCCTGCAAGCCAAGGTGTTTAAAAGTAATAAGAAAAATTTTTTTTTTTAAATCAAAGGATTCGTATAAACTGGCTTACTTAAACTTCGGAAATACAAGCCTCTCAAAGCAAGAACGGAAAATATTTACAGTAAAACTGAGAAACTGCAGGACTTTTTGAGCATCAAAATAGCAGTAGAAATTAAAGTGTGAGACATGTGCCATTGCTTCCTCAAAAATTAATCAGGGAGTAGACATAAACCGCAAAACTCCCCAGGCACTCCCTTGCCAAGGGTTTATCAGTCAAATGCGCCTAAAATCTGGGTTTGAACGTATATTGAGAACTGAAATCACCTTTACAAGGAGGTAAACATATCAAAAAAACCCCCCCATCAATTTTTTGCAAGAAGATCTATTTACTACTCGTCTTGTAGGGAAGTAGAGAAAAGTGCAGGAGGTGCATTTACAAGGTTCGGTGGGGAACAAAACCCAGGCAGTAACTCTGCTCGCAAAACACTGCAACTCGGGACTCATCTCCTCCTGCAGCAGAGCGCTGTGAAAGAGAAAAGCGCTCCTTCTAATTTATATTTGGGCCAATATTTCGTCAGACCCTACAGCGTAGAAGAAACAACGCAATCGTCATTTTTAGCTAGGGCTCTCCACGCGCGCTCGCCGGAGGGGGCAGAGGAGAGGCCCGTCGGAGATGGCGCCACCTTCTCGGCCCGGCCGGCTCCGCCTGCCCCGCGCTCGCCGAGCGCTGCAGCATTGCGGCGTGTGGAAGGTAAGGAGCACGTCTTGACTCAGCAATGGGAGCGAAAGACAAATTAGAAACTAGTACGGAAGTGCCAGTACTGTGTTCCCATAACTAATTAAAAGAAAGATGAGAGAAGAACCAGAGAAATATCCAGGAACCTTATTCACGTCTTTTCAACAAGAGTACTGATTTCCATGCATTACGTTATGGTAGGATGGGAAATTTCTTGTAGTATCTATATTTATATTAATTTACTATGACTTCATGTATTCAGAATATTAAAACAGGTAGATGGTACACCACATAGGCTTCCAATAATGCTAGTGCTACCACCTTGCTAAGGAGTAATAGTGAAACGAAACATTTAGTCCAGAATAAAGAGATGAGCTGTAAAACCTTTCATGTTTTGCAAACACCAACAGGCTCCTCTTTTTGCATTTTCCGAGCTCTGACACTTCCCACAATGCAGAATTAGCAATGATCGCACTGGCGATCTCTCCAGGCCCTCATCTGGGGCACCAGCTAGTTAATAACACTTTCAGAGAAAAGAAAAAATTGCCTGGAGATGTAATTTAAAAAAAATGCTGAGCGAAATGTGAATGCTGTGTATGTGTCTCTTCAGACCTTGGAGTCACGAGAGTTTATTTCATGTTATATATATCACACCATTAGTGCTATAACCAGAGTGAAAGTACAAATAACTGCGGCGAGCCAAACACATTTGAAATGGATGGAACCAATTAGCTTCAAAGATGAATGGGACGAATGAGAACCACATGCGATGTCAATGTTCGCAGTCTATATTACAACACACGCATCTGTTCCAGGCACGGCAGAGTGAGATGTTACGGCTGTGCAAGTGAATCTTTCGACAAACACAAAAATACTTCTGACATGAAAAAACACAATATTATTAGCCTTGGGAGCTTCTGAGTCTCTGGGGTTTGCATCTGTTCGTCTCCCAATATGAGGGGATGGATCATTTAATTGCAGCAGAGAGCTGTAAGATTCATCTGATACAACACAAGGCAGAACTTGCCTAATTTTTGCTCAAAACGATAAACTCATCTGAACTTTCTAAGTTTACTCTAAGATGGTAACAAAGTCTCATACTGAGTTTGGGCAGCAGAGTTCCACCGCAATGGCAGATGGATACTCCCTCTGAGATGAAAGGCCCTGAGGCCCCAGGGCTTGAACGCTTTACTTGAAGTACGCTAGTACACCCAACATCTACGTGAGGAAGAACAAATTCTTTCTGCCAATGTTTAAACAATATAGCCAGTCAAATCCTGCCATGGTTCAATACTTGTTACTCTCTGGTTATCTAGTTTTATCTATAAGCAAGAAGCAACAGAAAACATATGAGCAGCAAAATCAGCCAGTACAGTGTCTCATTAAAAAACAATCAAGAAAATGCTAGGTAATTTATTTAAAGTACGTGGACTTCTACAAGAGAGAGTGGCAGTGTCTCTTGGACACACATAGACACACACACACACACACACACACACACACACAAAATCATCACCGGAAGAATGATTCTTGCATTTAAAGTATACGCAGATCCATTTATCTTCCTAGTTCTTTTTGCCAAAGGAAAAAAAAATCATCTCAAGAAAAACGTTAAAATATTTTCACAGGTATTTGAACAGGCAATAATATCAGTTTTCATGTTACTGTAGTAATTTTTTAATACTTCCTTCAAAGATATTAATGGAAGCATACAGAAAAGGATAATCAATAAAACAGTAAGCAAGATCAACTACATTCAGATTATTCTTAACAAGCATTTGCCTGACTCGTTCTCCAGGACCTCCAAAGATGAAGCCTTCAGAGGAAATCCATATTCACCCTTGAAATTTCTCACGATGTCTAACTTAAATCTCCCTTACTACAATTTTATCTTCCTACTTCATATGCCAGGAACATTGAAATTATTTCTTTTCTTCCTCCTTGCAGGAGACCTCTGTTACTGAAAATCCATCTTCCCACTCAGTCATCTTCTCCAGGCTAAACCACCTCAGTTCACTCAATCCTTCATCCCAGGCACCCATTTCAGATTTTTGATCTTTAATAGCAGTCTCCTAGATGCCTTCTGTCACTTCTGGATCAATAAATTTCTAGAATTTTGGTGCCTCATACTGGACACAGTCCTCTAGATGTGTCCTCTAGGGCTAAAGTCTCGTTCATACGTTTCAATATTGCATTCGCATTTTTCCTCAATATTTGATGTGATAACTTATACTCAGGTTTTGAATCAATACAGCATTTGATCTTTTTCTACACAACTATCAGCAGGTTGCTCCACTTTGTCTTTATGCAGCTGATTAACCTTGGAAGAAATTTAGTGGGAAGGAGTACAGGGTATCATCACACTTTCTTTTTCAGTCTGTTCTCCAATTTCTCAATACGTTGTTGAATTCTGTTGTGGTTCTCCCATATTAACGTGCAATCCCTCCTGACTGAAAATCTAATGTTGTCTGTTACTGACCTTGCCTTTGTCTTCCAGGTGCTTACGGCAGTGCATTGGATGACTCCTTCCAGCTCAGGTGGGAACCAAGAGTAACCTGATTGGTCAATTGTTCTCAGTTCCTCTTTTGCCTTCTTTATACACTTGGCCCTGAGCTTGCTTTTCAACAGTTTTCTGACATCACCTCTGTTCTTCATGAATTTTCACAAGTATCTATTCTGTCCTTATCAGAGATCAAGACCATGGTCTTGATTGCTTGTATCAAATGCAATAGCTACCAAAGCATGGATATTTTTCTCCACATACCTTTGTGCCATACTTTTGTACTTCTTCCTATTATCTCACCTAGCTTCTCCTTCCATTCTGTATGCTTTCTGCTTGTGTTTGAGGACAAGACAGATGCCAAGATTTAGGGAAGACTATCTCTTTCTATAATAAGCATGGAACGAGACCCAGTCATACAAAACGCATAATACTATAAATTACACAGACATAGGGAGTAATAAGCATTTCTGCTGTATGGTGGAGCTGCTCAGCTGGAGCCAAGGAAAACACTGTGCGTATGCATTGATTTTCTGCGATACAGCCAGGAAAGAGGGAAATGCAATCCTACAAGAGTATCAGTGGAAATATTTCCAGCAGAGAGAAGGAAATACTGAACCACTTTGTAAACAGGGGTGAAAAATCTGGAGTAATTAATTCAATCCTGATCATACAAAAAGACTGATCTAAATGAGAACAAGATGACAGAGGAACTCCTGCAAAGGTCAAACAGGCATGACTGGACTGTCTATCTTCAGAAAATAAATAAGAAGAGCCTATCCAGTTAGCAGTCAAGACTGACCACACTGAGAAAGGGATGAATACTGCTGTAAACACACTATTGGGGAGCAGGCAGGGAGGAAGATGACCTACTAAGACTTAAAGGACAGCTTTGGCACACGTCGCATGTAAGTTAGGCACAAAGACAGTTAAGCTGGAAATTAGAAGGCTTTTTCTAACGTCCAGAACGGAGAGATTGCGGAATGCAGGTTTGGAGACATCTTCTGGCTCAAAGCCGAGTTCTCTGGCATCAGGGATAGCTCCTTAAAGTCTCTCAAAAATTCGCCATTCCTTTTGGAAAGTATTTAGGTTATTTTTGCCTACTCTTATTGAAAGCCATAATTTCAAAACTACCAAGTAGACTGCTAAGCTCACCTGAAACATTTAAACTTGCTACTTGATCTACTTTTACAATTTATAATAATAATTTATAATTATGAAGTAATTTAT